CCTCGCACTGATCGTTTGAAATGCTGATTCACTTCATACGTTTTGTCTTGGACGTCTAAGAATTCGAATGTAATAGTGTTTTAAAGTAATAGTATTATCTTACTAATCAGTTGGTGCTTGTGAGGCACAGGTAGTTTATCTGTGATATCGTTTTTTATATTAAATTTATAAGCTTTTCATTTTATGCTGTTCTTTTGTTATTCTTCTTACTTGTAGTTAGTTGATTTATCATTCTTGGTAAGCAGTAAGTTCGTGAAATGGACTTCAGTTATATATAGCACAAACCCTCGAGTTTGTTGGATGACCTGCCATTAGTCACAGACCTGAGTGTGTATATTTAATTTTAGTTGTCGTCTTGTGCAGCACCTGGATGATGCCTAGTCGGTAGGCGAGCTACTTTCAGCTCACGTTGCTACTATAATAATTCTACGGCGACAGACGCGACGGAATTCGTCAGTGAGCAAAAACTTCCGTCCTTCGTCACAGTCGACCTTGTAGTGTTAAATGATTAGTGACTGTTCAGGTTGTTTCTTTTACTTATAGTGCTCCTACACTGTAACCAGTGGGTTACATGTTCTTTCTGTGTCGTTTCTGCAATCAACGAGCACTTCTTGTCGCAACCATTCAGCACGATTATGTGGGCTGCAAATATTTTCAGTTCTCTGTGTCCATCTCAAATTCAGTTATATCCGCTTGATACCGTATTCTTATTGCCTACCTAAAATAATAAACCTGCCCTTCTTCAAGTCTGTTGCGTCCACAGTGAACTATTTCTTCACACTAGTGTCAAAATTAACGGCAAGATGCTTGGATTCTTAAATAGAAGAAACATGTCGAGGAAGCCCCACCGATTGTTGCAAGAAACTGAATTAGATTTAACACTGAAGGGAGGCTTTTGGTTTTTTAACATTTAAAAAACATATTTACTGATGTTCCTGTTACGATTAAATTAATCGAAAATAAGACTCATTTTTATCACTGTTCAGTACTCACGACCGCAAGCAATGATAAGACAGAAATCAAAAGAGTAAATTAGAGAAGTATAAGAAGTAAACACCTGGCCTATTTGATCAACTGATTGGGCAAGCCAGCTTTATTCATTCTTCAATAACTCATGAAAATAACAGACTTTCACATTGACACAACGCAGTGAATAAAGTACATCACGAGTCTCGCACGTTAGTTACGTTAAGTTACGTTTTCATTTCTTGCACTTACTACCTAAGGTCAGATAGTTATCTGAAGTTAACATCAATAATACTGCTCTCAGATGTATTGCTGATGATGGTGGTTCTTGACATATGTATCCTATGTATGACGGCTCCGTGTGACTTATATTTTCACAACTTAGTCGGATCCATGTACTGCTCTCAGTTAGCCTCTTTCTTCTAACTTACTTTGACAGTTTTGACACCACTTTACATATTTCTGCCATAAAGTAAAGACCGTTTAAAAATTGAGGCAAGATGAGTTCATCCCGTCTTACAACTGAGTGCAATATAAAGCCATGTTTAGGATCAAAAAGTACCGCCGAGGCAAGAGGTACAATGTCATCTTCGATCAGT